CCTAAGCCATCACTAGGACATCCCCTGAGGGCTCCCAGTATGTGAGAGGGGGCAGGCTGGGCTGAGGGACACTCCTCCGTGCACGAATTTCATGCACCAGGCCCCTAGTCTATATATAAAGTTTTATCAGCACAGAGCCATGCCCACTCATATATTTATTGTCCATGGCTGCTTTCCCACTGCAGCAGTAGAGATGATTATATGGCCCACAAAGCCTAAGATATTTACTATCTGGTCTTTTACAGGAGATCTTTGCCCATCAGGAGGAGCAAAGTTATGGTCACAGGTTATGTTAACAGTATGTAGAGTACATAAGCATCCAGTTAGGCTGCAGCAGCTGAGCCCACTGGTCATCTCACAAAGTGTGGTGAGGAAGGGAGCTCCTTAGAGGGCTGAGGGGCAGCAGTGAGTCCCTCATTAGATCATAGCAACAATTGCAGAGAAAACTCAAAGACAGGAGGGTGTGAGAAGATGTGTGTCCATCAATGATGAGGACCCGAATGAAGTATAAATTCCTGAGTGCTTTTGCTCTGAAGGAAGCTTTGAAAAAGGCAGGAAAAGTCAATTTCACCTTCACTCTCTTTCATTTTTTTGTATATAATACTGGAAAAAGCATTAAAAAATAAAAAATGATCTAATCTCTTGGTGAACACCATGAAAAATTATGTTTCTTAGTGTTGCCTGAAGACTAAACCCATTAAAAGTCAGGGGTACTTCCAGGTTTACTGAATTAGAACTTGCAGGTATTCTTTTTGAACAAGTGTCTTGAGTGATTTTGATGTACATTAAAATTTGAGATTTACTTGTAGATTGATAAACAAAACAAATTTTAAAAACAAGCAACCATAACAACATTCAATAGTTAAAAAATAAATTTCCATCAAATTTATTTGAATGTAATACAGGTTTAAAATTAATCTTACATCTAGCACTGTTTTTAAAGGTCTAATCTATACTTGGAAAATCAGCATTCAGTTTGGTGGAGGGGGAATAAGTTTGAGCAAAGTGGGGAAAAGCAGGTTTTCTGATCTGATGCAACAGGTTAAAATAACCAAAAGGATCACAGTCAGACATGCAGAAACCAGTCAAAAAAAAAAAAGTACAATGATTGTATCCCTTCACTGTATGCCCAGCTACTATTCTGAAAATCAATTCAAAACTATGCCATATATTTTAACTGCAAAAAAGTTACCCCCCCCCCAGAAAAAAGGGATTTATTTTGTATTGCCTAGTCAATTTCCAGTCTTGACAGAAATAATTCTCCATTTGTTTAGTTATTACTATGATTCCGTGATGACAGCTACTATGATGGGGAGGAAAATAAACAAATGGTTATTTCTGCTTCTGAGTAAATTGTTATTGTGATATCTAAGAGACAAATTACATAATAATGCTCTTTCAACTTGCTTAGAATTACAGGGTGACTTCATGGTCAAATGGAGTCCTGCAGCCAACTGTCTATCTTTAGTCAAAATGTATGAAGCTATTAGGGCTTTGAACACTGAGGGGAAGACATTGTAGAAGTTATGCATTAATCTTCAGCATCAGTGCAATTAACATTTTTCTACTCAGTGAAGACTGTTTTGTTTAGTTGGGTGGACAGATCTTTTTAGAGGATGACACAGAATAGAAAGTGGTAGAAGCCAGGGAATTGGCAAAAATGAGGACGAGAAAGGAGAGTCTGCAATGATTGACAGACTAAAAGCAATTAAAACTGGTTTTCCTAATTTGAAGAGCATGGAATTTCTTAATTGCACAACACTGATTGGAATTTGACCTTAGCTGAAGAGCAGTTCTCAGAAAATCCTGTGACAAAGTTAACAGTAAATAATCAAAAGTACAAAGAAGGCATGTGCTGTGGGCACAGATTACAATTAGAAGTTGGCTTGTTGGTTACCTTGAGTTAACCATGTTTACCTTGGTTATACTAGGTCTCTATTCTAAAAGAAGAAGAAGGAGAAGGAGGAGGAAGAGGAGGAGGAGAAGGAGGAGGAGGTAGAGGAGGAGGAGGAGGAGGAAGAGGAAGAAGAGGAAGAGGAGGAGGAGAAGGAGGAGGAAGTAGAGGAGGAGGAGGAGGAAGAGGAAGAAGAGGAAGAGGAGGAGGAGGAGGAGGAGGAGAAAAGTTGCCTTTTGGGGACAGCCAGAAAATTAATAGATGATAATACCAGATAAACTCTATAACTGGCTTGTCATATGGCAGGCACTGTGCTAAGAGCTTGACATAGGCTATCTCATTTATTTCTGCCACAATTCTATGAGGTCAGTGCTATTGTTATATCCACTGTTTTTGGTAAGAGATTAGTCATATAGAGAATTTATGAAACATTTACAAGTTCATACTGGCTAATAATAGCAGAACTAGACTTTAAATTGAGGTCTGTTTGATTAAATCACCAGGCCAGGTTATTATTGGAATATCTTAGAAATACTCTAAAATCCCTGACTGATTTAACATGAATCTTTGGACCCTTAAACCCTCTCCTCCAATTTTCCATTCAATATATACAATAAAATCTCATGTGTCTAATATTCTATTACCCATTCTGCAGATGAAGGAGTTTTATAATTAGATCATAGAAAACTTCTCAGCACTAAATTTGTCAGCAGACAACAAACTAATGTCTTCGAAGTGATGAGGAAAATGATCTGGGAGAAGAACTGCATATTTAGCTAAACTATCATTCAAGAGTATGGATAAAACAAAGAATTCTTACAAGTAAAAATATGTACTAGTTACATACCTTAGCAGAAAGATTTACTGAAGGCTGTAAGGCAGTGATTGAACCTAGAAAGGAGTGGGAAATAAGAAACAATAGTAAGGAAAGAAATAAGTATTGAACACAAAATAATGATACATTGCTTAGTTTGGGGAGAGGGGAGGTTGGTGAGGAATGCTAAAAATCTAGTGGAAAAAATGTTTTTCAAATGAATAGCTAATTTTCCTAACATTTCTTATTAACTAAGTTATGTTCCTTAAAGAACTGAAATACTATCTTCATCATATATTAAATTCCGACATATACAATTTATTTTGAACTGTCTATGATCTGCCCAGTAAGTTATTTGCCTTTTGGCAAACCAGTACCATACTATTTTGATTACAGTAGCTCTATAATACATTTTAAAATCTGTTTGAGGAATTTCGTATCTTTTTTACTTTTTTCAGAAATTTGCTTGACCACTTTTATTATTCATGCTCTGAACCAGGGTCAGCATATTTTCTCTATAAAAAGCTAGATAGTAAATATTTTAGGCACAAGTACTTCATCTTATCATTGTAGCATGAAAGAAGTCATAACAATATGTAAATAAGTGGGTGGGGCTGCAAGAAACTTTATTTACAGAGAAGGAAGTAGTCTGGATTTGGCTGGTGGGCAGTAGTTTGCCAATCCCTGTTCTAAAGCATTTCTTTCTTCCAATTTATTTTAAGTACTAACCTGTCTTTGCCATATTCCTTGTGGCTTCTACTTTCAGGATTTGTTACTTTAGCGGTATAAGGGTCAGTTTTCCATGTGGTCTTGGATATCTCATCCCTCATATTATTTTGGAAGTCTGTGTGTAGGACTTACCTGGTTGGACAATTCCTCCCTGGGTTTAAGACTCCAAGATTTAAAAGAGTGTTTAATACAGAGTAGATGTTCAATGAACACTGTCACTAAGAAGGTAGAGAGAAGGAATCTGGAATCTTTTCTAACCCTCTTGTTTGATACTGTGGGAACATATTTCCTCAGTTTTCTAAAATAAGTTAATGACAAAATGGAGATACAAGGAAAAAGATAATTATAGTACAGATAAATAAGGACTGGGTTGGAATTAACACAAGAGCTCAATGGAAACTCATGTTTGACATGTAGAGGTCAAAGAGAAAGTCATGCTTAAGCAAAGATCTAAAGGATGAGTAGGAATTGGTCAGGAAAATAAGAACAAAAATGTTCCAGAAAGAAGGGAAGGCACACATAAAGGCTTAGAGGTGAGAGAGGGCATGGCTGATCATGAGAGTTCAGTAGGGCTGGAGTTTGAGGTGAGAGGTGGGAGGGAGAGGGAAGCACAGGGTACATAAAATAATAGACTCAAGGGAGGCAAAGGGTAGGGAGCAACCTGTAACTGAAGTCTAGGCTTAGGAGCAAACTCCTTTACTCCTTTAAAGAGAGATTTCCTAGGCTGACCACGCTAAGCTCTGGATAAAGTTTAAAAAAGTGGTTTTATTCTAAGCAATGAAAGGTTGTCTTGAGTAAATTGTGGTCAGTCCATAGCAGGCAAATGGGCTGAAGCATTGGTGTAAGGGGGAAGAGAAAGAACAGCCAGTTGGCCAGTTGAGAACATCTGCTCGCAACTATAATGGGAACAAAGGGAGGAGGAGCAAGCATACACACACCCAGGAGTTGCCTGCCAAACAGTCATCAGTGTGGGATTCTCTTGTTCCTGCTCATACTCTCCTGATCAACCACACGGCAGCAATACGATGTGCTCTCTGGGGCAAAGAAAGGTTTTAGCAATTGGGGACTGGAGCAGAACTGGAAGAATGGGAACATCTGCTCTGAAGACTCTTGAAAAGTAATCCTAATGGCTTGGGGAAAACATCTGGGCCACACACCCCAGACCACCACTGGTGTGGTAAATGGAGAAAGATTGGGGGAATTGATGAGGAAGGAAGCAGAGTGAATGCAGAGTCATCTGCAAGCTAAAGAGAAATGATGTGGCTAAAGGAAAGTGGTATGGCCCCTCCAGGGAGGTCAGTCACTTGAGGATGCTCTCATGCAAGGACCAAAGGCAGATGAAACTTTCACCAACTCAGCTCACTGAAAAGGCCCACTTGGTCCATGCCACTCGGAAAACTGTCCTCAACTCTTCAGTCTTCAGCATGCTAAAATAGCAAATGGTGGACAGCTGCCATGAGAAGGGAAGAATTAAGCTAAGAGCCCCCACTTACTCTTAAAAAGGTGTGTATGTGGACAGGGAAGAAAATAGCTAGAACGATTTTTTAGATGAATTTGACATGTTTCTCATGCATGAGTCTCCATCTCCAGTTAACCCATTAATCTGAAAAATTCAACTTGAATAACATGAAGTGGATTAGAACATCATAGGTTTTCTTCAATTCATCTACCAACAAGTATATTATTGAGTTTCTATCCTTTTTGTAGGACTGTGCAAGGCTCTGGAGCCAATGAAGAGAAATAACTTTTTGTAATTAGGCGTTGTATAGAGTTTTTCAACTTTCAAAATCTGGGAGTTGTAAAAAAAATGACATACAGAGAAGTAAAATTACTCTCAAAGATGACATGATTGGTAAGGAAGTAGATCCTAGATAGGTAAGGTTTATGACTTTAATCCTGATATTATTTTTGCCTATGTGCAAAGGGGAAGAAATAATAATAATAACAACAACCTTTCTTGTTGGAAAGGTAAGATGGTCAAACAGCAAATTGCTAAGTCTGGAACAAAGTGTTTCAAACCATGTGCCCATTCACCACTGGGAAAAGAGAGAGGCCAGTGGGGAGAATAGACAGGAGGAAAGGTTCTTCTTGGGGAAAGAAACCTGGATAATGAGTATAAGGCTGGTCTTTCTGCATCTGAATAACTCTAGTTCAAAGGCATCTTTGTGTCCCATTGTCTCAGTTCTGGAACTCCAAGGTAGAACAACAGGGCACCTTTACACATCGGGGGCCCGTTGCAGTTGTAGAAAGTAAGGGCTGCCCCCAAAAATTCCTGGGGCCAGCAGTGAAAGGCATAGACAAACTTTCTTGGTCTTGTATAATCACTGAGGCAAATGAGACACTACGTTAGGGTTTTTACATCTTCATAACAGTCTTCAAAGGTATTATCTCTCTCACTTTATGAAAGAGGAAACTGAGGCTCAGAGAGGCCACACATTTAGTGAGTAGAAAGGAAAAGCCAGAAATCTCCACGATTCTCATGTCACAGATGCTTTGTGTGATTGGGGTACATGACTGGATGGAGCTTTGCTGAAGTTCATTGCATATGGCTAATTATTCCAGAATAATATTACAGAAACGCAGACATCAGATCATGTTACCCAGGTTTCTCTACCCAAGAGTTTATATGTAACAAATCAGATTAAACTGAAACAATATAGGGCAACAGAAGCAAACAAGTCCAAAAGGGTAGCCTGGTATATAGCTGAAATATGGTTAGGTATTGTTCTATCCATAGCAGATAGTCGAGAATGCAAGAATCTGGAATCAGAATCATCACCTGAGAAGAGTGAGGGTAGGAGAACAGGTACTGGTATGGGAGATGTGAGGGAGTTCAGTTCCACATGCAGAACAGCACTTTGGAGGAATAGCAACAGACTATAGGTGGTGGGTCAATAAAGCAAAGTGCATCAGGGCGGTCTCAGGCTAGGCCCAGCATGTCCTGACCCATGCAAGGAACATATGGAAAGGGGATGTTGGGAACAATGAATACTTGAACTTGCTTGACAAAATGATGGGACTTCTGCCTAGGCATTCAAAGTAGACACATTTGGCCCTAACCGGTTTGGCTCAGTGGATAGAGCATCAGCCTGCAGACTCAAGGGTCCCAGGTTCGATTCCGGTCAAGGGCATGTACCTTGGTTGCGGGCACATCCCCAGTAGGGGGTGTGCAGGAGGCAGCTGATCAATGTTTCTCTCTCATCGATGTTTCTAACTCTCTATCCCTCTCCCTTCCTCTCTGTAAAAAATCAATAAAATATATTAAAATAAAAAAAATTAAATAAAAAAAAACAAAGTAGACACATTTGGAGCAGGAAGGAGAGAATTAGCAGAATACAAGAGTGAGCAGACAGGCAGGCAGAGGCAGCTGGCACCTGGAGAGCAGAGGCCACCCACCAGACACAATGATTCTACTTCTTGGGAGGCTATTGGCAACAATGCAAGCCCTGCGGTGTGGCTGGTTAGCAAGAGAGAGGCTCACACTCGAGAATAAGATAGGAATTCAGTTTCCAAGAGGAGAGTATAAGCCTACCTCTTCACTGGAATTTAATGCATTTCTAAAAGTCTGTTGGATAGCAGATGTTCAGATAGTGGAAGCCTACGGTCCCCTTATTTTAAATGAGACGGATAATAAAAATAATACATTTATGTCATTCTTTAAAGTCCAAACAATATTTCAAAATGTCACTAAGCAGCCATATTGCAGTCTACTAATAATTTCTGCACAAATAAGTCACAAGTACTTTAATAATTCTCTTTTTTCATGCATAGAAAAATGCATGCACAGTGATGAGGACAAAATTATGATAAATGTAAATTTTTATGACAGACCTCCCCCTTGAGAGCTACATACCTCTAATGCCAATTAGTTAATAAACTTCTGATGCCTGAATTAGTGTTGCTCAAACTTGAGAGATATAAAGCATCTTTGAAGGCATGGATTGGCTCATTTCTCTGTAAAGGGACAAATAGTGAAAATTTTAGGTGTTGTAAGCTGTACAATCTCTGTTTTTGTAGCCAGAAAGTAACCACAGACAATACATGCACAAACAGCTATGGCTGAGCTCCAATAAAACTGAATTTATAAAAGTGGGTAGAGAGTTGGATTTTATCTGGGCCCATAGTTTGCTGACTTCTCTTTTAAGGGAAAAATTATCTCTGATAGCCACTAATACATTTTAGGATCCTCAGAATCTATGGGCTTAGGTTTTAACAATTCTGTTTTGAGAAAACTATTATCCTATAAGCAAACTTTTGATTTGTCAATATTAAAATGATATTTTTCTTTACAACTGGTAAAATTGTTTTTCCCAAGATTATCCTTAAATAAAGGAAACAATGAAAAATTCTCTTGTAACCTAAGAATTCCCAGCATCCCACTGACCACAGTTGAAGAAGCGCTGTCCCCAGTGGTTCCATCCTCCTCCCTCCCTCTGGGGGAATGGGAGGGAGGAGGGTGGTGACACACAAGACTGGCTTTTGTCACCATTAGGATATATAAGGCTTGAGATCTGCACCGGAGAGCACAATATGCCAATGAGATGATCAGATAATTTTTAATTTATTCTTTATAGTTTTTTTTTACCTCCACCATCCCCACCCCCAATCAGAGTTGAGGACTTTTAATAATTGTCAGGTATCAGATGCAAGTTCCTTTTTTAAAAAAAAATGTTTTTATTTATTTCAGAGAGAGGAAAGCAGAGGGAGATAGAAACATCAATGATGAGAGAGAATCACCAAATGGCTGCCTCCTTCACGCCTCCTACTGGGGACTGAGCCTGCAACCCAGGCATGTGCCCTGACTGGAAATTGAACCATGACTTCCTGGTTCATAGGTCAATGCTCAAGCACTGAGCTACACCAATCAAGTGCAAATTCCCTTTCAAAGGAACTGGAACTTGCTCCCTGGCAGGACTAAGGGGTTACATTAAAATTTTACAGAAGTAGAACCCCAGCCTCATTCTTTATGATTGCCCCATAAAGCCTCTGATTATCCCACTTGTTTTTGCTGACCCATCCACTCACAAGGGAAATACTGATAATCCTATACCACCCACTTCTGCAAATACCTTTCAGGTTGTGGATATCAGACCCTGTCTGATTCCAGGCCTCTGATACCCTCCTCTCCCTGTCTGTTGCATTCTTCCATCTTCATATCTAACTCTTCCCTAGCTTAAAGAAATAAGCACTCAATAACTGGTTACTGTCATTATGAGAGTGACTCAAAAGCATTTACAACTCCAAATTCCTTGGTTGTTGAAATAAGACTTCCTCAATCATACTTCCGCCCCCTTGGACCTCAAATTTATTGTTCTTTTCACATCTCCCTTTTCCTTTCCCCACACATTTGTCTTAAGCATGGAAACATTAATGATCAGAGAGAATCATTGATTGGATTGGCTGCCTCCTTTAGCCTCCCCCCTCCTCCCTGGGGCTCGAGCCTGCAACCCGGGCATGTGCCCTTGACCAGAATAGAACCTGGTACTCTTCAGTCCACAGGCTGACACTCTATCCCAGGGGTCCTCAAACTTTTTAAACAGGGATCCAGTTCACTGTCCCTCAGACTGTTGGAGGGCTGGACTATAGTTTAAAAAAAAAAACTATGAACAAATTCCTATGCACACTGCACATATCTTATTTTGAAGTAAAAAAACAAAACAGGAACAAATACAATATTTGTATTTGCATGTGGCCCACGGGCCGTAGTTTGAGGACCCCTGCTCTATCCACTGAGCCAAAATGGCTAGGGCTGTCTTGAGGCATTATTAATATCATATCACTCTTTGATCAAGACAGAACTTTTCACCATTCTGTGCCCTTGGGTAGGCAGCTTCAGTCTAGAATGCCATTCCCAGCCCTATTGCCATTTTTTTCTTCTTGGCCAAACCCTACTCATTCTTCAAAACATAGCTCATGTATTGCTTCTTTTCTGAAGTTTTCCCTAGCTCCCTGACCCCAAAGTGGTTACCACTTACGGTGTTCCCAAAACACTATGTTCATATCCTTATCCTAGCACTTTCTACATTATATTGTAAGTATAAGTTCCAAGAAGACAGGGATGTGCCTTGTTCATCACTGTTTCTCAGTCCCTTGTGCCTAGTAATACCGAGTACTCAGTATAAATTGCTTAGTTGAATTAATGGATATCATGATCACTGATGTGAAAACTCCATTAAGGTCACACGAACCAGTGTTCAAATACTCATCTTGGAAATGATTCCTTGGACCATTGTTCAGAAGAATCATGTTATGTGGAACTCCAAGATCTTTCATTCACCCATCCTTCTTTTATCCCTTTGGGATTCTGACAAGACTAAGGGTACTCAGGGCATACAATCTCTTCCTCCAAGAGAAATGTTTTCTTGGCCTCTCATGAATTCCTGGGAGATAAATTCTCAAAAGCTATAAAATGCTCTGCTAACAGATATTGGATCAGTCATCAGCCAGTTACTCTGCTCAGTGTACTTACTTGTGGTAGCCATCACTCAAGCTGCCCTGCTTTCATACTTTCTTCCCCAGTCTTTAGTGTATGTTTGTGTGCATGTGTGTATGTGTAAGTGTTTTAATTGTCATTTGATAGCACTGTTAAATTTCTATTATTGAAGGTAAAAACACAAAGCATAAATCTATGTACCCTGAGTAGCTCAATCATTCCTGAAGAGTTTATTTTGAGTTCCCCCTCAAAAAGAAAAAAAAAAAAAAGACACAAAATAAATAAAGAAAAATTTCCCTGCCTACTTTAGTTTTAAAAGTGTTTCTAATTTTTGACTGGTCTAGCCTACCTCTTATCAAACTAAGCATTTATAAGGTGCTTAAGACTTCAGTACTCAAGGCATTCAGATTAAACTAGTATATTCATTCTCTTTCTTTCCAAAGAAGTTATCTACTTCTAGCTTGGAGATACTCACACACAACAATGGGCCTTTTACATACAGGCATAGACTCATATGTTACTTCTTATCTGTACTTCCAAAACTGATCCCAGAGAAGTGGCAAAACCAGATGAAGAGGACAAAGAGATGTTAATGACATCAGATAAACTTCTCACCTCCCATCAAAATCCGATTAGAGCTAATTACAAATCTCAGGGTTCCTTATCAATGAGAAAGTCTTTTGAATATTAGATCCATTTCATTCTTTAAAGACATATTTATTAGGTACCTCTTTTGTGCCAGGCATGCTGCAGGCATTGGAAATAAAAAATAATAATTGGGGTAGTCAAAATCCTTGAGGAATTTAATCCAGTTGGAAAAAAACAGCCAAGAAAAGAGGCAGTTACACACTCCGTGGCAAGTTCTATAGTGGAGGGGTGCTCTGAAGGCCACAGAAACATGAAAAGATGCACCTACACTGTAAATGCACCCAAGTAAGTAGGGAAAAGTGGGAGAGTGAGGAAAGAAATTCTAATTTGTAATACAATACAATTACCAAAAATGGAGTCAAGACAAGTATACTAGGGGAGAGGATACATTAGATCTTAATGACAGAAAGAAGTCACTGTTGGTAGCTTTGCCATCTCCCCAAGCCTTTGCTGAAATGTTACTTTTTATATGAGACCTTCTCTAATCATCATACTTCATTTTAAAATTCTGCCTCATGATCACCCCTGATATCTCCTTACCCTGACCAACACTTTTTTCTATATATATACATCAAATACTTTCCACTTCCTGCCATATTACATCACTTGCTTTTGGCTTTTCTGCCACACTCCAGCTAGAAAGAATATAAGGTCCACACAGAAAAGGTGTATTTTTATCCAATAATATAGTCCAAGTACCTAGAACAGTGTATGGCACAAGTAGGCATTCAATAATGAACCTTAGAGATATTGTTTTTATCTTTCCTTTTAGTTCTATTTGTTTTTGCTTCATGTATTTTAAAGCTCTGTTATTTGGTGTTTGTACATTTAGAATTGTTATGTCTTCTTGGCAAACTGACCCTTTTTTCATTATGTAAAGTCCCTCTTTATTCCCTAGTCATTTTCCTTCTTCTGAGTCTACTTCATCTGATATTAACATAGTCATTCAGCTCTCTTTTTAATTGGTGTTTGTATAGTGTATATTTTCTACCATTTTATTTTTAACCTATTATATTTAAAGTGCATTTCTTGTAGACAGCATATGGTTATGTGTTTTTATTAAATCCATCTCTATCCTGTAATTGATTTAGATTTAACACAATTATTTAAACTGTTGGATTTATGTTTCCCATTTTATTATTTCCTGTTAGTCCCTTCTAGTTTTTTGTTTTTATATGTTTCCCTTTTCTTGCCTTTTTAAAATCTGAATATTTTTATTATTTCTCTATCTCCTTCCTAAACATGTCTCTCTGTACTTTTTAATGGTTGTTCTGTAGATTATAATATTCATACATAGCCTTCCATGGTATGTTTAGAGTTAATATTTTTCAACTTCAAGTAAAACATATAAGCCTTACAACCAAATACATCTCTTTAGTCTCCTTTTTCATGTATAGTTGTCACATGTATTATGTCTAAATATATTAAAAATTTCATCAGAAAGTGTTATAAATTTTCCTTTCAACAGTCATACCACTTGTTAAAGAATTTTAAGATGTGAAAAAAAAATGTGTATTATTTTTACCCAGCTATTTGCCATTTCTGTTGCTCTTTCTTCATTCCTGAAGGTTCACGTTTCTGGTATAATTTTTCTTTCTGAAAAACTTACTTCAGCATTTATTTTAGAGTAGATCTTCTGGTGACTAATTCTCTCAATTTTCTTCGTCTGAGAAAGCTTTTATTGTATTTTCATTCCTAAAGGATATTTTTGCTGGATATCAAATTCTTGGTTGATAGTTTTCTTTCAGCACTCTAAAGATGTTTCATTCCCTTCTAATTTCTGTGGTTTCTCATGAAAATGTCACAGTTATTTAAATTCTTGTTCTAACATTAGTATTTTAAAGCACCTAAATTTTGAGGTGGTTTTTTTACA